TTACAACTGTTACGTAAGATAAGAATATATTACGTAACCATTACGTAACACCTGTTGTGTTTTACGTAATGTGACCTGTAAAACCTGCTATAGCAGGTAAAAATATTCAAGTCACCTTACTTCAAGTCACCATAGGAAATCCCTGATTTAGTTGTGTCACGCTCACACCAACTCCACAGGGCTGTCGAGTCTGATGGGTTAGTTAGGAGGAAGTAATTGCAAATCTATCCGACTGGCAAATGCCATGCTACTTGCAGGAATGTTCATGCCCAACATTCAAATTCATCAATTAATTGAGTGATTAGACCGATATTCCTTTATTCATTACTCATGGGCCCAAAATTCTAACTATAGTATGCACTTCCAATTTTGGAAACAATATGCATATTTGTCGAAAACAGAATCAACGTGGCTTCTTTATCTTGCTCTTCTCACCATGCGGGCATTGTATAAAATGGTATTAAAAGAGCAGAACATCCTAGTAAATTGTAATACGAGGCAATGCATGATATTGAAATCAGTACAGCCAAAAAAAAATGAATGGGAGGTTAAAAAATTCGAACTTGAGATATTTGAATGAATTTGATTACAATAATGAAAAAGGGAGGAGACTAAAGACTAATTCAAACTATGCAAAAAATTTAGGGCTCATTTGCTTATTTGCTTGTTGGATTGAAATGAGGTTCTTGGGTTTTAAAAATCTTTGAATTTATGATGGGTTTGTTGCATTATGGATTTGGAAAAGTACATTATTTGCTTAGGAATCGTTTGCTTCATGGATTTAAAAATAAGGGTTTTGTAATTTAAAAAACCAAGAATTTATTTTGAGGCACTATGGATTTGTAACAATTCTTTGTTTGTTAAGATGTTTTATCATGGATTTAAAGGTTTGGGACAATTAGTGTATTATCATTTGATGTATTAGGCAAATATCTTGTTTGGAGGTTTAGATTGTGTTTTTGTTCTAAAGGTAAAAAAGTTAGTTTTGAGTGATTGTGAAGAATCTCAACAAAAAGTAGAGATTGTAAATCCCTCAATATTGAGTGATTGTGGTGGGGCCTCCAAAAAGTAAATGCATGTATTCTAGTTCTATATAAGTCAAAAAAACGACTTAGTCTCACAAATACATGAATTATGTCAATACACCATTTGAAATCACAACTTCCAAATGACCCCTTAAAGTCCAAAATTATCATACTATCATTTTCTATTTGCTAGTCATGTATATGATATGTACACAAACAAGGACAATACGTGCTAATAAGAATAACTTTGTCACAAGGACAATAATAATAAACGGGAAAATTCCTTTTAATTTTTAACGTAACTTATATCGGTTACCAATTCTTTGTCCCTGGTAGGGCTGTTAATGAGCCGAGTCGAGCCGAGCTTTGCCATAGTTCGGGCTCGGCTCGTTAATATATTTCCAGGCTCGAGCTCGGCTCGTGTTCGTCACGAGCTTTAATATGCAAGCTCGAGCTCGGCTCGTTTATGAAAATGAAAGCTCGAGCTCGACTCGAGCTCGGCTCGTCAAATAAGTTTAACAAGCCCAAATTCGAGTTCAGCTCATAAAATGTTCATGATAGCTCAAGATTGACCTAGAACTGCGCACAAAATTACATTCTAACCTGTAACAAAGTCTAGCAAAGTAAAACACAATATTTATCCCAATTTCAATACATAAAATCCATGAATTCTAATCCTTTTTTTATGTCAAACCATTAAATGAGCTTGTTCGCGAGCTTTCGAGCTGAACATGGTATGGCTCGAGTTCGGCTCGTTTAGTTAACGAGCTTGTTCGCGAGCCGGCTCGATTAAAACGAATCGAGTGTCGAACGAGTTTTTCTCGAGTCGCACACCGAGCCGTTCATGAGCGGCTTGGTTCATTAACAGCCCTATTCCCTGGTAGGGCAAAAGCGTAATGCCAATTCCTATATTGTAGTAAAACCGGAAAGTCCGGGTATCGTCTCTCAGGGACTGGCACAACCTTATATTCTATTAATTTATAGAGCAAACTGTAAGTGAAAATGGTTTGGTTGATGAGATTATTAACTAAAAGCAAAATAATTAAACAAACAAGCAAATTAAAGTTGTCGGGAGAAATTCAGTGGAGAAAGCTCGGGGAGAAACACCGGGATTCACTATCTATCATATCCAAATTAATTCACATATTCCAATCAATTTAATCCATATCTCTACCCAGAAATTCCACCGTCATGCAAACACCCCCCCCCCCCCCCCCAATTCCAATTTGCTCAAACATTGCGATGGAAGCTCAATTTCAGCTTTACTAGGTGGCGATAGCCGCGCCTTGTCGCGTGCCGGAGATGACCTTTGAACATGTTTTATATGGTCCAATATTGTGTTTTGTTAGTATTATTAATATAAAATTAATTTTTTTGTTAGCAGTTTTATTAGTAATATTGACTGAGAAGAGATATATGGCAGTCAACATCCAATTTAGATATTTTTGAAAATTTAGGCTAATAAATTATATTTACCTAAACCCAAGTAGACCCATTGATTATGGGTAGGGTATGCGTGACGTATATATGAGTTTGAAAGTTTATGGATACCCATTTATTCGAGGGTGTTTTAATTACACATACAAAAATTAGACTATTTGTAAAACTTCAAAAATTTAGGAACCAAAATGTCACACACAAAATTTAGATACTAAAATGTAATGTTTCGTCAATATTTTGAGGACTTATGTGCCAAAAAAAAAAATAATTTAGATTATAAATCTAAAGATCTATTAAGTTTATGTACCAAACTATAATTTGTATACCTGAGGCTTAATTCCTTTATGGTGATGTATTTAAGATGATAATTATTTAATTTTTTTATAAAAAATGGAAACGATTATTCGATATATGTAGATACCTAGCCAAACATTCCATGTATAATTGTTGAAAATTCTAGCTCGGGTGAAAAAAAAAAATTTAGGGAGAAGCAAAATGAATTCAAACTGGAACTCGTTTAAAATTTCACGCCTTCAAATCGAATAGTCGAAAATGATTACTTTCTAATAAGTAATAACCATATATATTTATTTTTAATTATACTCGAAAATGAGCTGAAAAGGTTTGTGGTTCATGGTTCAATTATTAATTCTCTAGACTGTTGGTAAGTCCTGTATGGACCCATTCATACTTGTGATTAGAATACATACCCGTTCATACTTGTGATTAGACCCGTTCATAATCACTGTAGCAATTTATCGATACTTGCTTATGTAGATGTCGCGGGATGGGATTAGGTGCTAACCCTTATAGGGGGTTAGCACCGTGATAACTAGCCAAAAACGCTACTAAAAACAACGAAATCACTACAAATTATTATAAAATCAATACAACATCTAAGCTAAATCACTACTAACCCTTGGTTAGGACGGTGCTAACTCTTGTTCAATTAGCATCGTAACCAGTCGCCTATTTTGTTACATGTAGTTAGTAGAAGTTTGTTTAGTACCCCGTAAATGTATTAAATGAGTTTATAAAATCTCTCTTTCAATATTTTAGAGTCATCTCTCTTTTATCATTTATTTAATTTTTCATGTAATGAGAAACTATAAAATGATAAAATCTTCTCCTACAGTTAAGTGATACAACATCTTGTTTGATACAAACTAATTTTTTGTTTGTTTGGTGGATTGGATTCATGGATTGATTCAAAAGGATTGATGGATTGGATTCATGGATTCAAGTGAAATCTAAAATTTGGACCAATATATAAATTTAAGAAAATAGTAGGTATGAGTTGGGCAGTGAGACAGTGGTCCAACGGTACATGGACTGCAAGTGAAGGCAGATTACGATGGTCTCTTTGTATTAGTTATGTGTGGCGTGAACGTTGCACCAGAACTCATGATGCTGTTATTTACCCCTCAAGTAAGCTAGTTGGAAGGATTGAAGAGGAAGTGAAAGTGGATATTTTAAGCCAAGCCCTGAAGCTGTAACGAAGTAGAGATATGTTGTTTTTGCATGTTTTTAGTAGATAGCTATATTGAGTAGTTCTTATTTTGGTAATGTACTATTTGTACTTGGAGGAGGGGTTCGCAGTTTGCCAGTTTGTAACTGCAGGGCTTAATGAAATTTTTGATTAACCATAAAAAATATAGTCGGTAAAAAAAACTCATAAAATTTAGATACCAAAATATAATTATTCAATAATTTTACATTAAAATTAAATTTGGGGTATCAAAATGTAAAATATACATTATAGTGACTAAGTTGTAATTTAATTAAATTTGGAGTATCAAACGGTAAAATGTACAGCCGCCCAATCAGCTTGCAAATTTAGGCAACAGTAAGTGAACTTCTTCTTTATATATATTAACTAAGCGCAAACCAAAACTCAATCCCGCAGTCGTCCGAGAAATAATCCGATCTCCTCGGCTTCCCCCATCTGCGATCGCTATAACATCCTTCCCTGTTTATACCGACCTAGCTACCGATGGCCTCGTCGCGCCGCCTGTCCAGTCGGTGCAATTAGTGTCATCATCTTCAAAATTGGGAATGAAGAACTCATACAGGTTGCAGATTCTAGAGAATTAATTGGTATTTTGTTTTGGCCATGAAATGTGTCGTATGCAGAGGAGGAAGGCAGCTGCAGTTACAGTATCTGCATATTTCGAGTTAGTGTTTAACCTTGTTAAGTTGATTATTCAGTATTATAAGGAACTGGAATCTGAAGCTGTTCAAGTAACAGAACATGTTACAGCGTGGGAGACACCCATGAAACGACTAGGGGATGGAACACGTTCACATTTTAAATCACAACCAAGGTTGTCAACCCGCGCTAATCCGGACTAAAATGGGTGACCCATTAACCCATGACCCACTAGCTCGTCCGGGTCCGGGTCCGGATCGACCCGCGGATTGACAACCTTATCACAACCCAACCCATCAGTGATCAGTAACAGTCACTAGTGTAAACCTGAAAGTTACTTTTTATTGAAAAAAATTACAGCCATTTAAATTAGGGATTCGGATTGGCAAAAACATTTTCTAGGATTTCGATTATATATGTTCCAGATTCCATCCATGGCGGCCTATAACAGCAACTCGGCTCCGGATCAGCCGCTAAGCTTGCGATTTTTGCCTTGCAGCTCCGCGAAACGACGGCGGATACATTCGACAGAAGGAAACTCTCTTCCGACGAAGATCGTTCAACTGGGAGACGATCTCCTCGTAGAAATCCTGATTCGCCTCCCTAACCCCAGATCAGCTTGTCGCTGCAAAGCCGTCTGCAAGGAATGGAAGTCCCTTATCTCCCATCCAATCCGCTTCAACCGCCGTTTCGTTTCCCACCACCAGAGCAGGAACCGGAAGTCTGTTCTCCTTCTACACTCAGACGACCCGCAAGCGATCATCAGCAGCTTCATCCCCATGGCTACTCCATTTACCCAACGCTCCTTCGAAGTAATCGACTCTTACAAGGACTTGGTTCTATGCGGGTTTGCGGATGTGAGTGCCTCGTGCTGCGATAGCGCATTGTACGGAGAATTGTACCGAACGTACTTCCTCTGCAATCCGTTTACGAAGCAGTGGGTCGCCCTCCCTTTGGCGCCAGAATTGTCAATTGAGTGTGGACACTTCTTTACAAGGTTAGTTTGCGAACCCAGGATTTGTAATGATCTTGATCTAGGAGAGGACCAAGTGTTTGCTTATTCTCCTGAGTATCGATTTCGAGTGGTGTGTCTATACCGGCATGCGGGGTGTACAAAGATAAATATCTTCTGTTCAGATACTGGGGAATGGACGAAGGACATTCTTGTTCTCCATGACTATTGTCAATTCGTAACCAAAAATGTAGTTTCCTGCAACGGGGAGGTGTTTTGGTGTTATGGCGTTCCAAACCAAGATCCTGGTGCTTTCATTGCTGCTTTCAATCCTTTCCGGCCTGATATACCTCCCACTGCTATTGAACCTCCTGCACAAGTATTTGGGAAACCTGGGTGGGATATTTCGTTCGCACAAGGTACCATGCACGTGATTGTATTCGAAGATGGAATTGAACCGGGTCGTGCACAGATTGCATCGAGTGTGTGGAGACTGGAAGAAGACCGTAAATCTTGGGGGAAAGTATGTGATGGGTGGCTGAAGGGACCAAGGTTGTGTGAACTTCACGCCTATGCTCGACCTTGTTTGCATCCAGAGAAGCCGCAAGTCTTCTTCCTCCGTCATTCTGACGGTACTGGTGAGGTTTCTGTCTTGTCCTGCGATTTGGGGGTGGGGGAAGAGCTCGAGTTCTTTGCTGAAGGAAGAGCATTCTTAACTTATTGGAATTTGTTCCGAGCTGAGCTCTCTTGCTGGCCGACTTCGATTCCGAGGTACAAGCAATTGCAGGTTATGTACGATGGAAGATACAGCTGTTGGGTTCAGAGCAACAAGGAACCTGCAACAACTCCTCCGATAGCTGGTACTTACTTTAGAGCAAGAAGTCTTGACGATTTCAAGTGATGCTTGGAGCAGCATCATTCTGTTTCTGCGCCTGTTACTGCTTGATCTGGTTTTTCATTTTAGTACCATTTTGTCGTAGCTACTGAATCAGTTTTTTCCCCTCAAGTGGAATTTTGTCGTAGTGCCATGCTATGGTTGTATCTTCTGTCGTTGTCCTGTCTTTGTTTAGAGTTTTGTAGTTGCATGGTGTGGTTGTAACTTCTCCCTGGTAGCCGTGTCTATTTGCTGTGTAGATCTTTCGTTGGGTAGATAGGCTTCGTCTTCTATTGAGCTTGATTCTATTGTACTCTGTTAGTGCTGTCCCGGAAATTACTAATTTAATTGATTTCCAACATTCTTGTGCTCATTTGTTAATGACAGATTTTCTCTTGTACTTTTTTGTCAAACCATTTCAGGTACCTTCGCAATGGCATCTGCAAAAGTTGATGAGGTACCAGCTGCTCTTTGTGATCTCAAGTCTACGATTACGGATGAACTTTTGGCAGTTGCAGAGCCAATCGTTGGACTTCGACGTGTTCCTGCTCTCGTCCGGCGTGCAGCGGCTTTCTATCAGCGACAGCTGATACAAAAGCTTCAACTTCTTGATTCTGGAATTGTGGCCAATGATGTTCAACTGGTTTCCCGTTTTCCAGGAATCGACCCCGAAAGTGTGTTATTTGTTTGGGTGTAGAAACTCCTGAATAATTCTGATATCTTTTTCCAAGTGTTTTTTTTTTGTTTAATTGTTCAGTGGTTATTGTTAATGCAGGTGTTGTTTTCAAATCCAAGTGCAACGAGGCATCTCACTTTCTAATACACTGTCATCATGACGACGTGACCTATAGAGCAATGACTGTATATCGCGTACACTTGATGGAAGCAGTGAGAGGATTTGAAACTGAAGTCGCGGCAAGTGATAAGCAGCTAAGTGGAAGTGCTGCACAAACCATTCAAGGTAATAGGTTACCCCTGTTTTGTTCATGCATTTGGATGCACTCATGACTCTTGTTTAGCAGTCCTAATTGTTGGGTTTTTTTAGGCACATTTACTCAGCCAACTGCACTCCAGAATGATGTTATTAATGCTGCTGATGCTCAAGGTGAAAGATTCGTGATGTTTAGTGTTACATTATGTGTTTTTTTTTCATAGGAAGTTACATTGTGTTTTGATAAAAAGCTCATATATTATTCTAATTTCTTACCTTTGTGTATTGTTCTAGGTGCCGCTGCACAGTTGATTGTGCCGCAGAATGCTCTTCTGGGTTCAGCTGCTGCTGAAGTTGGGAATCATATTGCGGCGCATAATGCTCTTCTGGATGGTTCTGTTGCTGGAGGTGAGTAAGTTAATGTAGCTGCAGCCCATGTAGCATACGTAGTAGGTCACATTTCAGCCCATGTAACCTTTATACAGGTAGTCCGTAGTCGTAAGTTCACGAATAAGAACATCAGCGCTCAGGAGAAACTCTGACTTTTCAAGATGTAGATGAATTATATGAATTTCAAGATGTAGATCAACAAGGGAACCATTCCTCACAAGCAGTGACAGAACATGGCAGCCCAAAAAGGATGACAACCTGTTCTCAAGGAGGGGAAAGGGGAGGGGAGGAAAATTATGGTGGTAAATGTTAGTCGGTTATCATCGATAACTATATTTAATGATTAATTGATAACCGCTAATTTTTTAGTAATTTGGTTTTGGCGAGCTGTGTTTTGCTTAATGGTTAACTGCTAACCGACTAGTTAATGAGGGGTGATATGTATTCCCCACCCACGTACGTGTGCAATATTAGCCAACAAAAGGAGTGGGAAATATGTATATATTTGGGGTTAAGTGCGTAGTGAAGAAAACCATACACACCACTCCGAAAAATCGGGCCGACCCGGTCAAAAAGCAAGCACAAGGCAAAGAACCTACCCAGCAGTACGGCGCGGGTCTGATTCTCGCGGCCGGCGGCCGGAAATAGAAGTCGCCGCCGGCTGGAATGCTCTAATTCAATTGAAAAAGCGTCTGATAACTTATTATAGGACGGAGGATAGCTAAGCTACCTTCACTTTCCAAGGTTATTAATTTGGTTCTACGATTTCGCAAATCTAGCTACTTGTGGTGTTGACAAAGTGTAGAATTAATGTACAAACAAACCTCTTCTGTTTACACAAATTAAGCGCAATATTTAGTGCTTCCAGATTTTTTTTTTGCCACGATCAGTATATGTATATCAAAGTATTATACAGTGGTTATAGTTTTTTTGTGCCTGACTAACGAACAACATCGTTTATATCATATGCATAGATATATTGAAAAATTCGTGTCGACTTATTTATGGGTCAACCTGACTAACGACCCAAACTGATCAATATGATATGATACAAATCAAATATTTTTTTTATGTATGATACTAGCTAGTAGTACGTAATTAGGTATGAGCCACATTTTTGCGCTACTAAATTATCATTATGCTAACTTATCATGTACGATTTCACAAATCAAGGTTGAAAGCACTTACTAACATTTGAGTTAACCAAAAATAAGTTTTTGAATCAAATCGAGTGATAGATTTTCTTAAATAACGTTAGTGTAAGGAATTCATTTATTTTAGAATTATTTTAGAACGCGAAACACATTATGGTTTATAAAAAAAAATGAAATATGGATTATTCTAATTTCACGAATTGTACCATATAAGTATTAATTATTAGGCATGAGAAAGACGAGAGAAATGTGTGTGAGAGAGAGAGAGAGCTTGAGAGAGAGTAAAAGATGAGAGGAGGATTCGAGCGATTTTGTCTTTCTTTTGCGGGTCTTCGGCAGCAGCGACGACTCGGGTACAACAGGGCGATGACCTTCGGGACAGGCTTGGGCTAACGAGGAAATTGGCAAGAAGTACATCTCCATCCAATTGTACCAGGTGAAAAACTCAAAGCTCATCCGCATCTCGTCGGCCGGAACAGATAACAGGCAACGCTTCATTTACTTCGAAGGGCATCAGGCGGAGTGGCTGGTAATGTGCTTCGGGACCTTAGCAGGAAGACGAAGTGAAACCGATGGAGATGGTAGAATCCAGGCGATGGGCACAAATTTAACGTTGAATGGTTTTCCAACCGATTTGGAGATGGGATTAAAATTACGGAGCGTATTCAAAGTGGTTGCCTTTTCTACTTATTACTTCCTACTGGCACAACGGGGTGGCTGAGTTTCTCTGAAGACCTCTTAAGCTTGGTTCGGAAACCCCTGGTTAGGCCGGCTCATCGCCGCGGTTTGGCGACAGTCCTCCCCGGAAGGAAGGTCTGTCTTATACAGAAGGAGATTGTAAAATAAAAAAAATGGACGGGCTGCGATATATTGAAGTGGAAGAGAAAGGGGTCACGAAAAGACTGATGTTTCTGGATCATTGTCTCACCCTTGAGTTTTTCAGCGTCCAGAACGTGGGCCTTTCAGACAAGTTGAAAATTTCTTTCATTGAATGGGCTCGCCAGAACTGGAAGTTAAATGATGATTTCGCCTTCACCAAGAAGGTTGGAGATTTGTAGATGCTTGTGTGCCCATCGCTGCAAGAGGCAATCCGTGTGCAAATTTGCCGGCACACCAAGTTTCGTGAGTACAATACTATCGTCCGATTTTGGAAAGAAGGTGTTGCAAGATGCTTTGCTACTCAAAAGGTCTGACTTGGATCATGGCCTTTGGGATCAAGCCTCACCTCAAAAGTTTGAATGTTTACAAGAAGATTGTGGAGCTCTGCGGGGGTTTCATTGATGTTAAAAGAAGTTGTTAGGAAGATCCTTTTGTGAGCATCAAAGTTTAGACTAGTGATCGGATTACAAATCAGATCCCTTTATTCTTTGGTACCACTCTCTTTCCGGTCAAGATCTTTGTATCCCCAGTCGCGGAAGAGTCGGTGGCGGATTTGAATCGGCGCTGTCTCCTTGCCCGGAATTGGGGGAAGTCAAGGAGTCTCACTACAAGTCTACAACATGGGAGTCGTCATCATTAGCCTCTCTCTCCACTAACGTGCCTAGTGACGCATCCCTAAGCATATTTGAAATTGACAGGAGTTCTTCATGCATGCAGTCAAGAGACGGGACCAGATCATTGAGGAGAGTTTGTGTCCATAAATTTGGGCCCCTACCGAGCCCTAAGCCCAACCCAGTAAACTACTCAGGCCCTTTTTTTTCCCCCAGCCAGATACCCATCTCCACCTTGACCACCATCCTTCGACAATCCTTAGCCAAAAGGCCTCCCCGCTGCCCATCCTAACACCATCCATAACCGTCACTCCCTCCACCGAGTCTGAACTTGTTCAGTTGACAATACCTGTCAAAAAGACCTTATCTTCCCTCCTTTCCTAGCTATACACCCCACCACATAAAATGCTAATTGAAACTGGCACATTATCCCATAACTAACCTCCTTGTTGTTTTAGGGAACCTGGAATTGATCTCGGAGAATCATATTCTTTTCACATACTTCCCCTCCGTTTTCGAGAATCCTGCTCATTACCCTCTGATGCTCGGTCCTTGTGGACCTCACTAGACTTGCTCCCAGCTTTCTTTTCCTTGATCAAGCCTTTGTAACTAACCTTTCTCTCTACCCAAGTCACCACCCCACCCCTCTGGCCATAGATCTCTCCCCTAAACCCTTTGATTTTGATGAGTCACGACAAGGGACCGTCACGTGAACCTACTTCTTTCACCCTTTCCTCTGCTCCCGCAACCCCTTCCTCAGAAAGCGCTCCTTCTCCTGCTCCCCTTTCCACTGATAGTTCAGCCCATAATCCCCTGGCTATTGTGGTTCACCATTCTATTGGACGAGACTCTTTCCAAGCGTGCCAAGACGACCAGGATCTTTCTCGCCTCACCGAAAGATGCTTGGCCCTATGTCAGTATCTCAACCTATCAACTAAGAACTTAGAGAATGATCTAGAAAGAAGATCGTGGAATTGGAAATTGAAGCCACAAAAAAGAAAGGAGAGCCAAAATCAAAACAACAGATGGAAGAGCATCGGCTGGGTCCTTGGCAGGATGCCTCATCAATGACTCGAAAAAGTAAGAGAACAGTCCGTTATGGGGAACCCAGTGGAAGCTGCGGAGTTGTCTGAATTTTGGTAATGAACTCTATTATAGATTGGAATATTCGTGGTTTGGGCGGTATAGAGAAAAGGGCGAGAATTAATGGAATCATCAGAAAGAAACGACCCAATATTGTAGGCTTAACAGAAACTAAGTGGAATGAATGTTCTTAGCAGTTGATTGTATCAGTTGGTGGTAGCAGGACCTCAAAGTTGGCAAAGAAAGATGCATCTGACTTAAGGGAGGACTTGCAGTGTTCTGGGAACCGGCTGAGTTTAAACTCCTTGTATGCGATTGGAGTTTTATCCATACTGTGTATCTCGGGTTGCCACTTGGTGCTCAACCTACATTGACGTCAACTTGGTATGGAGTCCTATTGAAGACACAGAGGAATTTGAAAGTGTGACAGGGCAAATATTTATCACTAGGTTGTAAAATTACCTTGTGTAATGTAGTCTTGGCCATCCAATAGCTTTACCAAGCTCGCTTTTTCGTACACCAGCCAACATAATCTCAAAGTTGGAGAGAATCGAGAAGGAGTTCATCTGGTCAGGAGTGAGCCAAGAAAAAAAGATCCACTTCGTGGCATGGGAAACTTGCAAGAAACCAAAGAAGCTGGGTGGCTTAGGAATCGCAGATTTAAGGGTCTGAAACAAAGATTTGTTAGCTAAATGGCTATGGAGACTCGCTCATGAAAGAGGTGAGTGGTGGAGGGAACTGATAAGTCTCAAGTATCCTCATAAAGCTTCGGAATGGATCAAGGGTGAGCTTAGAGGTTCGATGGGGTGCAACCCCTAGTCTCATTCTGAAAGTATCAAAGGATTTCTGGAATTTAGCATGGGTAGAACCTGGTGGAGGCGTTTGGGCATCATTCTGGCATGATGATTGGATCAAGGGTCGTCCCTCACTAGCTAAAACCTTTCCAAGGGTTGTCGCTGTTTCCGTGTCACCTTGCTGTAAAAAATCGCAGATGTACTGCGTATCAGGGAGGAAAATATTTCATGGGATTTACCTCTTAATCATAGCTTAAGAGGAGGGGCCGAGGGTGAGAGAATTACTCTTCTAAATTTACTCCAAAACATCCCTTTTAATTTTTTTTCTGCAGGACCATCGAGACTATTTTGGGAGTCGTCTCCTGATTTCCATGTGAAGTCAATGTACGAGAGACTGATTGCCGAGCAAAACAATACTCGACTCGTGTTCCCTGCTGAAATAGTCTTGAAACAGCCTACCCCCTATAAAGTATGCGTGTTTGTGTGGCTAGTTTACCATAAAAAGATCTTGATGCAAGATTTGCTCAATAGGCTTGAATGGGTGTCCCAAACCGTTGTGCTCTGGGCTGTGAAGAGGAAGAAAGTGTGGATCATCTTTTCTTGAGCTGCAGGTTTTCACAGAGGGTGTGGCAAGTTATGAAGAGATTTGTGAAGATACCTGCAGATTTGGCTTCGGATATAACTGCTGTAATTAGTGGGTGGCAACATAAAATCAGAATGTCCGCAAGAGTGGTGCTCTAGAGTGTTTTTGCACGCATTATGTTGGCGACTATGGTTGGAAAGGAATGGCAGGATATTCAGAGACACTATGAAAGCAGTCAACGTGGAGTGTTTCCGTCGAGCCATGGCAGATTGG